AGAAAGGAGTGGGGAGGGGGAGTTCCTACAGCCTCTAAATAAGGGTCCTACTTCGCCAGAGAACAAGGCATTCCCAGGTGACCGAGAGCCACCGATTATTTTTTTTCTTAACAATCAGATGACTGTCCAATTCCACCTTCCCCGAATCTCACTTCCCAGTTCTTTTCTATCCGGCGCAAGGGTGCAGAGTTTAGAGCCGAATGTGTTCGGGTTCCAGAGGAGACGGGGCAGCCCTGTCACCTTCTCTGCGCTCGGCATCGCCAAAGGGCCCGAGCCGTCCATCTCTCCCGACGGCCAGCTGGCTGTCCAGATGGGAGCGTGGAGGGCCCTAAGCACCCCCCGCGCTTCTGAGCCTCCCCAAACCATCCCTGCGAACCCCCCGCGCGCTTTCTAAGAGCTTGCTAATGGCGAGCATATTTTAATTTCTCCCCCGTGCAACATGAGTGCAACCTCGATGCGTTTTGTTTACTGCTCAACAGGACCGGGGGACGAGAATGGGCCATAAACACAATGCAGGCTGTTGGTTAAACGCTCCCCGTTTACAAAGCGTTCCCCAAGGTGGGTGTCATCGCTCCGTTTCTGGGGATTAGGAAACTGAAGCTCGGACCAGGGACCCGCCCGGGGTCCCACAGCCGGCAGGCTGAGTGGCAGTGGTAGAAAGGGGACCTCGGCCCTTTCCTCTCTGCCCAGCACCCTCCCCGCCACCAGAGATGGGAGCTCTGGGTTGGGTGGGGGGTGAAGGAGAGAGCTGGTCAGACCCAGGCCTGCACTCGAGTGGGCTTTTATTATAATGCGTGTCCACAGCACGGAGCACACAGCCCGCCCCGCGAGCCGTCTGAGTCAGTCAGCTTGTCACCATAGACGGGGAGCACCGGCGGGGAGGTGGGCAGTGGAGGAAGCGGGGTTTGCCTTCCTGCATTTTCCTTAGAGATGCGGGGTCGGTGGTTCGAGGTGTCTTCCCCGGCGCCGCCCCGGCGGACTCCACCTAGGAGGAGCCTATATACGTGTGCATTAGTGATCGCCTGGATGGGGGGCCTTCCACCCTTTCAGTAAGGCGAGGGTTAGTGCAGAGCAGTGGTTTTGCACCAGGCTATGCCCACCAGGGATGGAGCGCCAGTGTCTCCCAGACCCTGGCTGTGGCCTCGCACAGGCCCCGGGTGCAGCCATCCATGACCCCAAGGTCGGGCCCCTCCACCTCGGACTCGGGCCCAAGCGGCTGCTGGGGTGGGTGCAGTCGATCAGAACAGCAGATGATCCCCTAGGGAGCCACCAGCCGCTCTGTTCCAGAGCTCAGCGGGACGGGACCAGCCACCTAGGCCAGGTGGGAACAGACAGAGGCCTTGGGCGAGGTGCCCACACATGGTTAGTATGAAGAAGGGTGTCCTGGGGGGG